AAGTTTAATGTATCTGATGAGTTGTACTAGGCCGGATATAGCTTCCTCGGTTAGCAGGCTTAGTAGATACACAAGTAATCCTGATGCTTCTCATTGGAAGGGTATTGTGCGGGTGTTAAGGTATTTACGCTACACTCGGGATTATGGGCTGCATTATACTCGATATCCAGCGGTGCTTGAAGGATATAGTGACGCGAATTGGATATCAGATATAAAGGACTCAAAGTCCACTAGTGGATATGTGTTCACTCTTGGTGGGGCAGTCGTGTCTTGGAAATCTTCCAAGCAAACGTGTATATCTAGATCAACGATGGAATCAGAGTTTATTGCTTTGGATAAAGCAACGGAAGAAGCAGAATGGCTTCGCCATTTCATTGAAGATATTCCACGTTGGTCTAAACTTGTGCCAGCTATTTGTATTCATTGTGATTGTCAATCTGCAATTGGTAGGGCACAGAGTAATATGTATAATGGAAAGTCTAGACATATCCGTCGTAGACATAATTCCATACGACATCTACTCTCGAATGGAGTTGTCTCTTTAGACTATGTAAAGTGTAAGGACAACATTACGGATCCGCTAACCAAATGGTTAAGTCGAGTGTTAGTCGAAACGTCGTCAAAAGGAATGCAGTTAAGGCCTTTGGAAGTTACCGGAATGGAAACCCAACCTAGTTGACTAGAGATCCCAAGATCTAGGTTCAATGGGACAATCTAATTGCGTGTAACGGTGGTATGTCACCGAGGAGGTTAAACCTCCAGCCATTCCTTCTATTAGTGATACCTGCAAGTGTAGAGGATAAGCTGAGCTTTTAATGACTCTTATGTGTTAAGCTGTTGAGCTAAGTATTGCAGGATACTTTAGTAGAGTCACCTATGTGAGTTTGAAGTGGGGCCGTTTCTAGAAGAATTGGGCAGGCCAAGATTCTTTGAAATCACTCGCTGAACCAGGCTAGTGTCCAGGGCCACATAGGGCACACCAGTGAGAACATAATGGTGGTAGGAGTAATTCCCGTGTGAGATCTATTGTCTTAGTTTACATAAATGGTAGAGCAGTTCAAGATGTCTTATTCACTAATCTGCCAGTAAACTCGATAGGTTTTTACTGGGAGAGGTTCAAAGCCAAAAGCTACCTTCTCTGTTGTCGGGGTTAGTCCGTTGTACTCTCTCTCAGAGTCTCTATTGTTGAACGATGTCCGTTTGTTGAGTCATTCGGTCAATTTTTATTCATGTGGGAGATTGTTGGAAAAAATGATTTTTGGGGACTTTAATTTAATATTAAAGTGTGGTGACTTTAATTAAATATTAAAGTGGGTCCTAACCATTTTTTGTGTTGGGTCCAAGTGAGCCAAAAACCATTGGGTTTTGAATAAGAAATTGCCAAGAAATTGCTTCATGATGTTAGATTCATGAATAGGATTTTAAAGAGTATTTAAATCTTTTTTCTTGGCTAAAGGGTGTGAATCCTTTGGGCATCCATACTTTTCATTTTGTGGAAAGGAGTTATGGATGCTTGGTGTTTTAATGACTAGCCTTAAAGGCTGGAGGCTTTTCCTCTCTCCCCTATACATGTATACATTGAGACCCTCCTGTCAAGTTTCTATATAGAAATTTTTGCTTCTATTTTACAAGTCAGTTTGCTTGATAGTTCCTATTGTGAGAGAGTGCTGCCATTGTTTTATTCGCTAAGCTAGACAGATAGTGCTTCTGCCGTAGCTGGTTTTGACCGTCGTATCCTGGGAGACAGACGCCGGGTTTCCTCAAGCACTCGACCCGTGAGGCGGCGAAATATGTTTTAAGGAAACTGCTTCCGTGCAGGCTTCGGTTTTGTCTCTTTATCCTTTATTGTTTTTTGTGTATTTCTGTTGAAATTTAGTTGTAATTATCAGCATATGTTCTTGGTATATAATTTGTTTTCTTCATAAATCTATTTATTTTATTTCACAATTTTGAACAACACGATTTTTTTTGGATGACAAATATGACAAATTGAACATGTCACAATTATCAGATCGAGATAATTTTTTGTTTGGAAGATTTACGCAAAGGGCTCTATAATATAAACAATTCAGATATTTCGATAATCTAAATCGTTTATTTTGTGAGATTTGTGCATAAATTATCAATTAAAAAATCATATTGATATGATAATCATAATATTGTAATTCTATCATATTTATGTTCAAAAAAAAAATGAAAGATCGTCCAGTTTTTTGAATCCATTTTTTTGAAGACAAAGATGATAAAATCATATTGTTTTAATTATCGAATTAATATGATTAGTTTATTATTATTATATTTTATGATCTATACACAGACTTTCATTAAAAAAAAAAAAACAATTTAAATTAGCAAATGGGACTTGTGATAATCGTACGCCCCTACCCTACCTAGCCCAACCACTCTTCCATATATTTTAACAAAGATTTATTAGGTAAACAAATTTGTAAACATCAATTCTTGGAGTTCTCCATTCTGGTTTATTGATGAACAATAAATGGATAAATAGATGGACACGTGGACAAAATGACAGATTTGTGAATAAATAGATAGATAGGTAAATGTTATATGATATTTGAAATTGTTGTTATCATTATGGATAAAAAAAATATATATATATAATTTGAGACAATTGCCCCCAAAATTTTAATTGTAAATTTAAATGATTAACCCGAGTGTTCTTTATTGAACTAATATATATTGATAATGTATGAGATGATAAATTAATTGTGTTAATTCCCCACCATGAGTTGATCATAACTCCCACTTGGTTTGAACGTTTGAGATGTCCAATTAGTTAATCAATACCCATCTAGTTCAATTTTGTTTACATATTTTTTAAATGCGTAAAAAATACACATTTTTTGAATGTGTAAAAAATACACATATTTTAATTGATGCAGAATAATAAAACTAATTATTTTGGGTGGAGTCATTATACTTTTTAGATATGAGATTTACATATTAAAGGAATCCTATTTTGTGTATTTTTTTTTTTATTGTATAAACAAATTCATTTTCATGCCATGCACTCCTTAATTTGTGTTAACTTTGTCTAATGTATAAAATGTGTCTTATGGTATTTCTGTCAGAGGCCATTTGCTGTATTTGTTAAAATTATGACAAGTTGTGAAGATCAACCTTATAAAAAATTAAATTAATTTGAATACTATAATTACATTATTATATTACATTTATTTTCAAAATAAAAAAAATATATAATAAAATTATAATTGTTGTCCATTTCTATAGTACAAATGTGATCTAATCATGTAATTATAGTTGTCTAAACAATCTGATTGATTTTCTTGATAGTTCTTCGATATGATTGGCTCAGATCATTGAGGTTGGCTTCGTGATGGGCCAAAGAAAATGAATATATTGTTTATTGAATGAATATCATTGGTACAGGATGAAGTCATATTTATACACTGCAATTGACTCTTAACCATAACTACCTAACCACAGTTAATGCTGGACAGTTACTCTATAACAAACTAACAACCTATAACAAAAATAACAAACTATACAGCTGGATATTACACATGTGATGCAACTGCTGTAGCTTCTGTATCTGTTGCAGCTGCTATATCTGTTGCAGGTTGCTGTGACTTATCATACCCCTGCAAGCTCAAGGGACTAGGAAGGACATTGAGTTTGAGCTGAAGATATTGAAACCGAGCAACAGATAGAGGTTTAGTAAAGATATCAGCAACTTGATCTGAAGTGGGAATATGACAGATATGAAGCTTCTTGGATGCAACCCGTTCGCGAACAAAATTTACACAGACGGAGATAGACAAATGGTGCAAATTGAAACATGGATGAAATTCTAAGGTTTAATTTATCAAAATTGAAACACTGAAATTTAAAGTGAAAAATGCGTGAAATCTTTAGTTTTTTTTTTTATTTTTAAATTAACCAATAAAACTTTTATATATACAACTTATAAAAAATTAGGTGCGAGTAGCAAAATTTAGGGACTACTATGTAATTTTTCCTTTTTTATAATACTTGCAAAGTGAGATGGTAACTGTCTAACAGGTGTTAGGGAAGAGAGTTGGACGTGTAAAATTTAGATAGAAAATGCGATTTCTCTATTTAATTTTTGGCTTGAAGCACTGCTTTACTACAATTTTTCTTGATGATAGACTACTGTATTTTAAAATTCATTTTCAGATTTCATACAAGCTCTTGTACCATATTGAGTCTGACTATTCTATTTTAAGGTTTGTTTGGTTCATGAATTTGGACGTAGATTTGAAATTAGAAAAATAAATAAATAAAAAATGTATGTGAAATTTAGGTAAAATATAATTATATTTCACTCATATTTTATTTATATTTTCTTTTTTTCTTTCCAAATTTCTCCTCAAATCCATGAACCAACACAACATAAGACCATTTGGATGCTGCTGTTTTTCTTTAATTAAATTCCATGCACAAAACAAGTTGTGTCCTAAGTTTAAACCCTTCATTTTCCTTGGCTATTGTTCAAATACTAAGGTTGTATTTTGAATCATGGATTAGGTAGGAATTTTGAAATAGAAAAGGAAAAAGGTAAGGACAATGTGAATAAAGTATAAATTAATTTTTTCTCTTTATTTTCCTTTTCAAATTCCTATCTAAATTTATAATCCAAATATAGTGTAAAAGATACTAATGATTTAATCTTTTAAATGTTGACTTACCAAGAAAGATTTTAATCATTGTTGGGTATCTTACATTATGCAAGTATTTTACAGGGCAGAAAATATCATTTTGTCTCCAAATTATCACTCAAAATTATTTTTACTTTTATTCTTTTAATAATATCAATTGATTTTGAATCAATTTTTACTGCCACCGTTAATTGTCGTCTATGATCAAAATGAAAGTTAAAGTTATTGATATGACACTAAACCTTCATTTAAAATTTCATTTTATTTCCATACTTTCCCCCCGAAACTCTTGAATAAAATGAAGTTTTGGGTAAAATAATTATGTCACTAACACTAACACAGTTAAGTTTGATGGATATGCAGTTTATTTTCAGAGACGAAAAGTTCACCGGCTTTGGACAACTTACCATCACAGACATAGATGGATCAATAGAGATGTCGCACAACCAACTTGCAGTTGACCGCCATGACCTAGTGAGATTCATGTTGGTCCAATTTTGCGGGAAATTATCAAATGTGATCTCGTCGAATTTAATGCAAAGACTACCACGTCTAACACGGCTTAAGGTATGGTGGTGTGATTCACTGGAAACAATATTTGACCTCCAAGGGTCGGTACGCGCTGGTACTACTGGTGAGGAAGGATCATCACTAATTTGGTTCAGAGATATGAAATTGATGTATTTGCCCAAGTTGACGCATATATGGAAGAATGTTTCCCAACAAACTCATTATTTCAGAAATCTAGAATCCCTAGAAATGGAGAGGTGTGACAACTTGAGATATCTATTCACAATTTCCACGGTCAAGGTCCTTGTGCGTCTAAATTATCTAAGAATTGGAAATTGCAAGAAAATAGAAAAGATTGTTACCAGGGAAGAAGAAGAAGAAGAAGATGGCGATGATGAAAAGGGGCAAAATCAGTATTTTCAGTGTGGAACTTGAAAATCTTCCGAATCTTGTGTGTATTGGAATTCCAGAATCGCAAATTCATATCTCCAAATTGCGTGGTAGATTTCTGCCCCAAGTATCGAGGTAACCGATTATACTTCTACGCAATATGCTTCTTTTGTTCTAGTTGTTTTCCAAATAAAATTCTCTCAAGAAAGCAACTTCACTACCCTATATACCTGCCACATCGACATTTCTCAAAATGCAAGTGGTTTAAGGAAGAAAGTTCTTTCCAACGTTTTCTTCATCTATTCATCGTAAAATAGTTGATCCAAAAGTCACAACTAGTGATATTCGTTAATTGTTGAATTGTTGGATGGAAGAAAAAGTGTTAGAGAGAATTTAAATCCGAAATTTAGCTGTTGTCATCCATGGTTCAGTTACGACCTATTTTGAAAAGTAAGTTAAAAATCAACATTTTAATTATTTTAACTTTTTTTAACTCACATCACCTCTTTACTTTATTAAATATTTTTTCAAAAAAAGTTAAAAAATTGACTTTTAACCTACATCTAATAAAACCTTTTGACTTCATTTACCATAAAACATGTGATGATTGAAGCTAGCACCTTGAGAAACCACTCTCATTTTGTTTTTCCTAATAACTCAGGAAAGTGACTTCACTGCACTGAACTTGCCACGTAGTTATCTAAAATAATAATAACAATAACAATAACGACAAATTATGCTAGTATCTTTATATTATTTTTATCGTTATAGTTTTAATTAACTTGATTTTAATTCTAAATTTATAATAATATTTCTCAATTTAGTCTAATTGTTAGTATTTTAATAAAAAATACATATATATGTGATGCTTGTCATGCTTTTTGAGTCAAAATTATATATTTACTCAACTTAGTGACTTAACTTCAAGTAATTTAATGATCAATTTTCGTCAAAAATATTAATGCCGTTATCAATTGGATTGAACTGACAGAAAATCTAAAATTAAGGAAAAATTAAGTCAATTGAATGTATAGGGATTAAAATAATATAAACTAGAAAATATAAAGACTACCAGTGCCATTTCCCCTAACAATAATAAGAAAATGCTACATATAATTATATTTTTAATTGTCTCATTTTCTCATACCCAAATAAATGGGTTGTATATGTATTTATGAATATGAATTCCATTTTTTTTTTCCTTACGTTTTCCATTTTTTATTTTTCTTTCCAAATATTTACCCGAATTCATGATCCAAACACAAATTATAGTTTTAAGTAGGAATTTGAAAAAAAAAAAAAAAAAAAACTACTAAACATTCAAACTCTAAACAAAATGGTTCGACATTTATACTACCTATTTTTTTTTTTCACTTTTATGCTGCCATAGACTAAAGACTTGGAACATCTATATAGTTTTCAATAGTTTCTTGAACCTTTTTTTTTTTTTTTGTGGTAATTGACAGAAGATTAATTAAAAATTACAAATGTATCTATCTATACGATTATATAAACAAAAATATAACATGGTGATTGACGCTCTAAGTCTCAATCTATTTTTTAAAAGTTGAGTGGTTAGATAAATTTTTTTTTTCTTCTTTATATTGTGGGTCAAAAGTGATTGTTTAAATGACCTAATAGCTAAGTCGTTCTCATAAATGATATTAGATAAAAGAGGTGGTGTTGATTATTAGCTACATTTACTTTTAGTTTTAGAAATCATTTGATACTTTGTCACATGCAGGCTATGATGTGGAAGGGGAGTAATATTTACCATTTGCTGCGGTGCATCACCAATCTTTTCATAGAAAAGGTATGCATTATTGCTATGCGCACAAAATAAAAATAAAAAATAAAAAAATTAATAATAATAAAGTAAAAGTAAAAAAAATATTATACCAAATGCCTCTTCATCCCGTTGATGTATATACTGTGAGTTTATCTGTTTATGCTCATATCTTTAAATTTTTAGTATATATATTTATATTTGGTTTGAGGCCTTCCAAATAATATTTTTTTGGACAAATTATTTTAATAGTCCTTATGTTTTAATTTTTGTGTCATTTTGATCCTTTTAATTTCAAGTCATTTGATTTTTATCCAGAATTTATGATTTTGTCATAATTTGGTCCAATTGATTATAATTGCTAGCATTTTTTTTTTAATGAAAAATGCGCACATGAAAGGCATGTGTCTTGCTTTTATAGTTAAATTGTAAACTATATTAACTCAGTAAGTTAAGCTCAACTAACTCAATGATAATTCTCTGTTAAAAAAATCCTAATGGCGTACGTTATCAATTGGACCAAATTGACCCAAAATAAAAAATTAATGATTAAAATTGAGCCAATTAAAAGTGTAATCAAAATGATACAAGGGGCAAAATGTGGGGACTATCAGTACAATTCACCTCATTTTCTTTTAAGAATCTTAACACACTGCTAAACCGTTTCACTGTGTGAAGTAAAGAGCAATATTTTTCTGTTCTTTGGTGGTTTACAGAATTCCTGTGAATTAGAGAAATAGTTTTTTCTTTTTTCTTTTTTTTTTTAGTAAAGAAAAAAGTTGTAGTAAATAGAGAAATTTCCTCTGCAGTCTGTCCAATTCTCCTAAAATTGCTTGAGGGATCCTGAACAAGGATAAATTAGTAGACTGTTCGGTTGGCCAAAGTTTAGACAGAATCCATCAATTTTTATTTTCATATATTGCAATTTTCATTTTACTATATACAGAATTCATTTCATTGGCCAAGTACGTTCAAAATAAACTGATCTTATATCAAATACAAGAGTTTATTATTATTCTCTAATTTAATGTAAGTTTATCTTGTTCAAATTATGATGATTTAATTATCACAAATAATTCTCTAACCAATATGTTTGTACTAGGTTTTTTTTTTTTTTTTTCGAGCGACAAACTCCTCGCTCGAGCGAAGGACCAAAAATCTGGGCAGCAACACTAGGCTCCCAACGCAACCAACCTGTAACAAACCTGCCCAACACATCCCAAAACTCAAATATACAAAGTACAAAGGATGCAAACACGATGATAAACAACAACCAACATCCATGGACACATGTCCGGATCACTGTACAACAAGGGTAAACCCGGGATCGCTATAGCGACCCCCCCTTACCGTCGCAAAAAGCCAAATTACCGTCGCAAAAAGTATTAGAGACGGCTTCCGGGGCATTTGCGACGGCTCTTTACCGTCGCAAAAAACGCCTTTTTTTGTAGTGTGTCAAAGGTTAGGTGTCTACTTAATCTTTCTCTTCCCAAACACACATTAATGTGTACTAATTAGACTTTTTTATTTTATTTTTTACATACACATAAAATCATTGAGAATAAACTCTTTATTACTAATTCAGTAAAATATTGTCTGTGAAAGCAATGCCAATTGAGTCCCAAAGAAATGGGTAAAAAGTCACCGGGATGAGTTCAGTTCAATTAGATCAAATTAATTTTGAAAGTGCCATACGTAGGTATTGTTCTCAATAGAAACTTTTGTATGAATAATTATTTGCTAAAGCAATTTTCTTTCCAAACTACCTTAAATAGAAACATTGTACAATGAATGGGCTTCTCAACAGTTGGCCTTTTGGATTGTACAGTTGAATTAGATTTGTGGAGTCAACCAGACATTCCACTATGAGGATTTGAATCTCTCATTTTATAAACACGGTGGGTAAGTCAGTCATAAAAATTCAAATTCATTAGATAATTGTAACAACATTATTTTATCATCTTTGCTTTCAAATGAAATGAAATTTATTTTTTTGAAGATAAAGATGATAAAATCATGTTAAAATTATCAAATTAATCTAATTATATTTAGGAGTAATATTACAATGACCATGTCTTTAAGCCATATACGGTTTACTATCTCATTTGTCATAAATACGTTGGTTGAATGAATCTCACCACTCATGTTTATCACCAATATAATGATGACACATTCTATAATAAATCAAATAAGGTATAAAGGCATGATCATTGTGGCATTACTCTTAAAAATAATTGAAGAACGGTTGAGAAGCCCAATAAGAGCTCTGTGCAATCCAAATGAAAAAATTGCCGAGCCCAAGTGGTATAGATATTTTTCCCATTTACTTTTTCAAAATTTCAAGACAAAATTTATTAGGAAAAATTACACAACCTCCTTTGAGATTTAAAAAAAGAGAGTAAATTATGTAAATGGTCCTTATAATTTATACGATATGTCAATTTGGTCCCTATTGTTTCAATTTGCTCGATTTTGCCCCTTAATTTAACAGATTGTGTCATTTTAGTCCAATAAATAATGGTTGTTAAGTTTGGTGGACGGAAAGTCTATACAATGTGTCAATTTGGTCCCTATAGTTTACACAATGTGTCAACTTGGTTCCTGTAGTTTAATAATGTGTCAATTTGGTCCCTATTGTTTTAATTTGCTCGATTTTGACAGGGACCAAATTGACACATTATGTAAACTACAGGAACTAAATTGACACATAGTTTAACTTTCCGTCTAACAACCTTAACAGCCATTATTTATTGGACTAAAATGATACAATCCCTTAAATTAAAGAGCAAATCGGGCAAATTGAAACGATAGAGACCAAATTGACACATCGTGTAAACTACAAGAACTATTTATATAATTCACCCCCCCAAAAAATACAATAAACTTCACAAATTTAGCATAATTATATTGGACTCTCTTCATATTTTAATTCACAAAACACTTAGCCCCTTTTTCATTGATAATTTATTAATCATATGGATTAAAATTAATGCTATAACTTTTATATTGAAATATGTATTTTACATTATTTATCTTTGTGTTAGAGAAGTCTGTGAAATTAATAAATTATGTAAAAACTATGGGGTTGTATTTATCCTTCAAATCTTAGGGGAGATCAGTGTAAATAGATAGATATTTAGCACTTACATGAAATCACATTTAATTTTTCTATGTGGCATCTCCTGTTTTTAATTTCTTAACAAAAGATGTAATATATATTGTTGAGCATCTATATTGCATATATGTTTGACCTCCATTATTAACTTGATAATAAATACTTATCTCTTGCCAAGCCTAAAACATGTTGCACCCAATCTACACAAGCACATTGAATGTAATAGCTTTTAACTGGTCTTGAATGTCTGTCATTTTCAAATTTAATTGCAGCTGAATTCATAGGTATGCTTTTCTTAATAAAGAAGTTGGAGAAATAGATTTTGGCCCTATTTATGAAAAAACCAAGGCTACAAGATGTTCTTATATATAAACAAATTGTTTAGCTGTTACAATTACATTTTATCTGTTATTGGGTTTGTATAAAGCACACTGAATGTAGTTGCTTTTAATTAGCAGGTATTCGCTTTCAAAATTTGATTGCAAATGTTTTGCTAGGTATGTTGTTCTTGATAAATAGGTGTGGGTGGATCTACTCAATTTCTATGAAGATCCAAAAGTTGAAGAAGTAGATAGCGGACCTATTTATGCATAAATCGGCTACAACTTTACAAGGTGTTCTTATTTATGAAAAACTGTTTAGTTGTTATGATTTCATTTAACTTTTGTCCAAACTTGAAAGGCAAAAAAAAAAAAAAAAACACTATTGTCCTAACTTTGAATAATTTGTTTGCTATTATGTGGTGTTGCTAGGTTTGCATTAGTGTGCCTTTTTTTGGTATTGCTAGATTGATTGTGCTTTTTGTTTTGTGGTACAACTGAATTAACTTTATTATTAGCCATGTAATAATTTGTGTTTGAATATGTAAGTGTGCTTTATGTGTAATTGCAACGATGCCACTATTATTTGATTTGAGTTTTTTTTTTTTTTTTTTTAAATATGACTTATAGTTGATGTACTTTTAAATACGATTATTTTTTTTTATTTTTTAAATTGCATATTTTAGATATGCAATTTATTATCTAGCCTCCGTTACTACCTTTGTTTAGCTAATTCATGACCATGAATTGTATGTTATATGAGGAAATTGATAAAAATGTAACTTATTAGAGAGTAAATATTTCTAAATTAACAAAAGAAAATTCTAGATTAAAAAAATGGTATTGCTCGAGTCACTACTTAACTTTAAATGGCTTGAAAGCATTGCATAGGGGAGCAGACTCTCAACTCAAAAAACATGAAATTGCACTTTTAGCGACTAAATTTTTAGTCGTCAAAAGTCATAATTTAGTCGTCAAAAAATTTTCCCGACTAAATAGTTTGGTTGTCAGCTTGGTAGCAAGAAGACTGTCAGGGAAGGTATTGGCGACTAAAACATATTTAGTCACTGAAAGACCTAAATTGGCGACTAATTTTTTTTTGGCCGCCCAAAGTTTTCAATAAATGGGCTTTTTTGTTTTAGTGACTAAAATATTTAGTTGCTAAAAACATGACACTCCTTTTTGGCTACCAATTTTTTAGTGGCTAAAAATCAGAGTGCTCCTTTTCGGCTACTAATTTTTTAGTCACCAAAAACTATCATTTTTTTGGCTACTAACTATTTAGTCGGCAACAAGTTTCCTTTTTATTTTTTGGCAAATGTTTAGTCGCCAAAAACTCTATTTATTAATCTTTTTTAAAATGCATAAAATGAATATTTTTCATTAATTTATGAATTATATGCATTACATTTTCAATGCAACATGTAACCTGTACATATACAGAATAATACATCTATCAATTATTATTTAAATCCATTAACAGTAATACCCATTTCATTATCAACTATCCAAAAACTTTGGTTGTGTAGGATTAAAATTTGGTTGGAAAGAAATACAAGAGTTTTTTTAGAGCAAGATTGAAGAGTGTAGGGTTGTGGGACAATATTTGTTATTTGTCTTTCTTTTGGGCTTCAAAGCCTTCTCTTATCAAGGGGATACCTACATTTATCCCCCCCCCCCAAAAAAAAAAAAAATAATCAAGGGGCTACCTTTATTTTTTATTTCTAGAAATTGGAGGGCTATATGTGACTCGTAATTTTGTTTTTACATTTCTCCCCACCCCCCAAGGGAGCATCCACTCTACAAAGAACAAAAGAAACAGACTCTCAATGATGTGCTAGAACCTCATAAAAAGAATATGCCTTGCTTTTAAATCAATATTCAATTATCTATTGGATTTTAACTTCTTTTATAGTAGAAAACCAAATTCTACTACATTTAGTTAGCCAACTTGACAAGGAAAAAAACAAATTGCATACTCTCAATGCTAGGAGCAAAAACTTGAATAATTACAAGTAAACATTGCTAGAAATACATACAAGAGTTGCATACTAGTTAAAACAATAAGATAACTCCATGGAAAGGTTGAGACATCATTAGAATTGAAGCCTGATGTGTAGAACTCCACAACAGCTAGTAGAACACACTGCAATTCAGTAACCCCACTATGTTGGATGAGGATGGTTGAAAGAGGGAACATATAAAATAGCCAAAGTGAAGCAGAGTAATAAAGTAATGGCTTTGCCGACAAAAAGTAGCCAAACTCAGAGAATTATCATTGAATTTGAAAATATTCGAAGTAGAAACGAATAAATCACAATGTAATTACATGATAAAAATGCTAAATCGCTTGCATTTTGATTTGATGCAAAAATGATGCCCACATTAATATGGTTTTAAACTTGCACATCTTAATAGAATATCATTCTTCCCACAGACGGCGCCAATTGTACGGGGAGGAAATAATTCTCCTCGTATAATCCTGTTGACCAAGTCCACGCTCCTCCGTACGACGTCGCTTTATCACCTGAAAACACAAACGTGAGCTAGCCGGGGGGTGTGTGCCGGAAACCTCTCCGATGCCTAAGTCAGAAAATTTGACAAAGCTCAATGTTCTCAGAAAGTAAAATTGTGTTGTGTTCTGTTACCTCCTCCAAGGTGATGTTTGTGAGCTTTTATATGCTATTGATAACACAAACTCTTTGCAAGTATGTAGCAGTCTTCAATCTTTGTCTCCAAGCTAACCAAGCAAAACATATGACTTTGGGTGGGGTTACATTCTGCCAAATCATCTTATCAACTCCTTTTATATCATTGGAATTTGGACTGAAGTATAAACTGACCAGAGCTCTCAACTTTCCAAAGCAAACTACCATCCTTATCTACCCTCAAAGCATTGACTGAAACTAACATGTTGACTCTAGCCACATCCTCCATTTCCCAATCCCTCAACAGTCTTATAAACCCCAGCTCCCAATCAGAAAAGCCTCTTATAAACACTATTCCATAGACCACATCACTACCCAATTCTATAGAACTTTTATTTATAATCACTATGCAGTTTTTGATACCATATCATATTCTCTTCCAGAATGAACTATGGTCCGATTGGTCGTAGAAATATTTAGATAAAAAGACAAACAACAAACCAAAACAGTATGTTCTCAAAAAAAAAAACAAAAAAACAAACAAACAAGCCAAAACAATACAAACACAAAAAAGAATTAGAATGCATCATTTTTTCAATTTGAACTGCTTCCCTTAAAAACTTTACAGATCAAGTAGAATCTTACACATTTGACCACGATAATGGCACGTTTTTAAATCAAATACGTCTACTTGATTTTTGTGCTGCTCTATTTCTCTCTGATTATCATTTTTTTTTATTGATAGCCTCAAACACAGTTTGTGGTTCTTGGACTACCAAAACATGTTAATTTTCCATTGATTTATTTTATTCCAGGAGAACTACAATCAGCAACACACAATCTATTGTTTTTTATTTATTAGCATTTCCAATTTCAAAAGAAGAAAGCGGTATGGATGGACTATATATGTACATCAATTGAATGTCTGCTTGAAAACGCAATCAATTATAACAAGGAGATAAAAGCTTGAAGTGAACGAGTACCTACCTGGGAGATCACATCAAACCATAGAATTAATGTATTACAATAGTCAAAAATCTAACTAATAAGAATTTGATTAAAATAATGATTAATAGCAGAGGTCAACTGTTTATTCAATCCAAACAAGAAAATATTGCTCCAATGGGATTTGTCTGCAATGGGATGCCCAATAAGGCCATGTTTTCCAATTTCCGAATAAAAGAAAACCAGAAATACCAAATGTGATTTCTATACTTCTTCCCCAAAACTATATTACAATCCAAATTGTGGAAAAGAGAGACAGATATTAGGGGAAGAGAGGCACAGAGAGACAGAGAGAAGGCAAAATAGAGAGGACATACCTAGGGTAATGCTCCAATAGTGGATCGACGGTGGTGCTTGATGGCGGTGATACTCCTTACCCGACAGCGATGGAAACAAAGCGACAGAGATTCAATATCAGAAGGACAACCCATGTAGATATGGATCTGGATCTAAAGAGCGATCTAGATGTGGATTTGAGTAGAGGTGGTAGCAGAGGAAGACGGCAGTGGTGGGAAGAGGGCAGATGTAAGAGAGAGAGAGAGACGTTTTTAAGCCCTAACTCATTTTAGTGTGTTTGAAACCCATCCAAAATCCCTCCAGAGTTCCTTACCAAAATAATTTAAAAATCCCTCCAAAATTTGGAGTCCAACCTCCAAGAATTACAATTACAATTGCCGACTAAAAACTTTAGTCGATAAAAGTCAGCTAAAGGCAACTAAGCCCTGGTTTGGCATTCATGTTGGGACTAAAAAATCATAAAAAACAAAATTGACTACAAAAGCTAATAAGACAAAATATTACTTTTTACCTATAATCATTACACTTTTTCTCTTACAAAAATCAAAAAAGTTTAAAAACAAAAACCAAACAAGTCTAAAAAAGTCTTAGCACAAAAAAGTTGATTACCGTAAGCAATGTCAAACGAAGCTTAAAATTTTTTTAGTAGCTAAATATTGTTGACTAAATGTGTTTTGGTCACCAAAAATGTATATTTGCAGACCAAATGAGGTAGTCACCAAAGATTAAAAACAAAATTACACTAGATATTAGGCAACTAAATTTCTTTAAGTCGGCAAAACTTAGTATATGACGACTAAAATTTATTTAGTCGTTGAAAATAAATTTTTGGCAAATAAATTTTGGGCGACCAAACTTTTGGTTGCCAAAAATAAAAAGTAAATTTTTGCTTTCCATTCAGCGACTAAATAAATTTAGTAGCCAAAAGTAACTACACAACGACTAAAATATTTTTGTAGTTGCTGAAATTAAATTTTTGCCGACCAAACTTTTGGTCGCCAAAAATAAAAAGTAAATTCTTGTTTTTATTCGGCGACTAAATAATTTTAGTAGTCAAAACTAACTATACAGAGACTAACATATTTTTTTAGTTGCCAATTGTGGCATTTTTAGCAACTAAAAATTTTTTTAGTCACCAAATGTGACATTTTTAGTGACTAAAGTTTTTTTAGTCGCCAATAATCAATATGCCCCGACTAAAAAAAATTAATAGTTAAATCTTGTACTTTTGCTAACTAATATAATTTTTGGTCGCCAATTTCACAACTTTTGGCGACTAAATTTTTTTCAGTCGCCAAATTTGGTCACCAAAAATGTAATTTCCTATAGTGATATAATCAACTTTAAACTATGTTTGGTTCATGAATTTAGGTAAGAATTTGAAAGAGAAAGTAAAAAGACAAGTGAAAT